CCGCTGCTAGTAGGCGCACTTTCGGCGAGAATTTCAGTCCATTCTCCCAATTTCAGACAGGCCTTAAAACTATTCTTAAACGATAGAAGTTGTAGTAACTGTGTAAAAAGCAATTTGAAATCATAATATCACATCAATTATGATTCAAACGCCTTTTCAATTGATACACTTTTGCAGCATGTTTCAGCAATAAACCAGAAAACACTGCCACATATCAATAAAATAATGTCGGCACGTTCTACTCGGAAATAAGCATACCAAAAATGATACCCACCTTGGCGCATAATCTTGCGGCTTCTGGGGTATGATTTGGTGGCAGACGGTCTAGATGATTTACTAATGCCTCAAGAGTTCTCACAGCCTCATTACGGTAATCATCCATCCATAGCTGCTTGCAGAGAGCTAGTACCTAGTGGTATTTCATCCTAATGATATAGCCGTCATTGCTGTCATTAGTATCTTACCAGCTGCGGTTTATCACTTGGTGCTACTGCTTTGTGTAAAGGTGCTCCGGGTTCTAGTCCCAGCAGTTCTCTAAGCACATCTCGGCACATCACATGTTTCCCTTGCTTACGGCAAAGCGACGAGAATTTCACACGCAGCGGATGCATTTCTTGTGGGGTTAGTACCAAAGATCTGAATCACGGATAATCATCAAAACTTTGCAGCCGTAAGGCAAAAGCTCATCCTCACCTTATCATAAGTAGCCTTTGCCATTGTTCGATATTCTCGCGGCACCCCTGAAGACGTCTGCTCCATAGTAAAGCAATTCGAGTTTGTCGTTCAGGTCTCAACTGAATAAACCTTATATATTACTTACGCACACCTAAACCCCTAGTATCCCACCTTGAACTCCATTGCCTCCTCTAACTCAGCCAGTTGTTGTACGCATACCATTGCTCCATACGCTCTCTCGTAGCTTTCACTTGCCATCGCTGTTAACTCACCATCGTACATATCACGTACCTGAACAAATAACTCATAGAATGAACAAAGATACTACTCATTTGCGCCTACTTTGTCGATATAATTCATTGCTACATCATACTGATCTCTTTTCACCGCTAAAACAGCTCTTAGCA